CCCCCTCTGGGGTCCTTGGGTCCTTCCTGGGTCTGTTGTCGCGCAGGCCGGGAGCTCCTGCGCAGGCTGGGAGCTCGCGCGCACGCCGCCGGGTGATCGCAGACAGGCAGGCAGGTAGGCAGCTGAAAAAAACCCCCTCTGGGGTCCTTGGGTCCTTCCTGGGTCTCGCATAAAACATTTTAAGTATCTACAGAGTATCTCACATTCTATATAATTTTGAACAATTTCTTACTATTTCACAATATTTATTCTTTTTGGTGCTTATTTTCACTTTCATTTTCTCACACCAGCAATACAATGGGATATTTACACATGTGTGTTCAATTTTTCACTTACGAGTATGTTCTCGAGTATGTTTTCACTTACGAGTATGTTACCTAGAAATGTCTCAAGTTTATCCTTCTTTATGACAGAATAGTACTCCATTATAGAAAAAAACACATCTGTTTTGTCTGTTCATCAGTTGATAAGCATTTGGGTTGTTTCCAAGATTTATCTATTACAAGCAGTGCTACTATAAATGTGAATATGCATATATTGCTGAGGTATGATGATTTTAATTCTTTTAGGAAGACATCCAGAAGGCTAGCAGCTGGGTCAAATGGGATCTCTAATCTTAGTTTTTCTGAGGAATTTCCACAGTGGTTGCACCAGTCTATACTCCTAATAGTGGAGAAGGGTTCGTGCCAGCATTTGTTATTGGTTGATTTCTTTCTTTCTTTCTTTTTGTACCAGGGACCAAACTCATGACTTTGTTGTATTTGATAGGCAGGCAGCAGAACCACTGAGCTAAATCCCCAGCCCAGATTGATACCAGCCATTCTTTCTGAAGTGAGATGGAATCTCAGTATTGTTTTAATTTACATTTCATAAATGACTAGTGATGTTGAACATTTTTTCATATATTTATTTGTTGTTTCTAATTCTTTATCAGAAAAGTGTCTTTTCATTTCAAATGCCCATTTTTGGATTGTGTCTTTAAATTTGGGGCATCTGACTTTTTTTGAGTTCTTTATGCACTTGATTATAGTCCTTTATCTGTTGAATAGCTAGTAAAAATTTTTTCCCATGCTGTGGGTTGTCTCTTCATTCTGTTGGTGGCTTCTCATGCTGAGCAAAAGCTTTTTAGTAAGATTAGGTCCCAGCTGTTGATTCTTTGTAATATTTCCCATGCAGTCTGGTTTTGTTCAAGAAGTCTTTGCCTACTCTTATGTCCTCAAGCATTCTACCTATTCTCTCTTCCAGCAGATTTAGTGTTTCTGTTGTTTTTTTTTCAGCTTTAATTGAGTTTATTGGTACATTTTAGGGATACAGTACAGTTACATTCATTGTTGGGATCTTGTACCTCTACATGACAAGTCTTGATTCTCATTTTTTCCCCTTACCCCTGTCCTCCCTTCACCCCCTCCTCCCCTCCCCACCTACAAGTGTTTCTGTTTCAATATTTAGATCTTTTATCCATTTTAATTTTAGGTAAGTGCATGGTGAAAGATATGGGTCTAGTTTCAGTCTTTAGCATGTGGAAAGCCAGTTTTCCCAGCACCATTTATTAAAGAGGCTATTTTTCTTCCAGTGATTGTGTTTGGCTCCTTTGTCAAAGATAAGGTGGCTGAGTTGTCTGGAGTTGTTTTTGGATCCTCTAGTCTGTTCCGCTGTTCCTCAGGTCTGTTCTTTTGCTAGTACCATGCTGTTTTTATCACAGTAGATTTGTAGCATAATTTAAAACCAGGGATTGTGATACCCTCTGCCTTGCCTATGTTGCCCAGAATTGCCTTTGCTCTTCTAGGTCTCTTTTGTTTCAAAACAAATGTCAGGATTGTCTTTTTTTTTTCTCACTGAGTTTATTGGTACTTTAAAAATATACAGTACAGTTAGATTTATCATTTAGATCTTGTACCTTTACATGACATATCTTGGTTCTCATTTTTTCCCCATACCCCTACCCTCCCTTAATCCCCTCCACCCTCCACTATTTACAAAGACTTTGTTTCCATTTTTTTTGTTTTCTCATATTTTTTCTTTTCCCTTATTTCCTTTCCCCTACCCTTGTATAACTGACAATGTGAAATAGGAAGAAAAGGGCTAAAGGTATACTGGATTGTCTTTTCTAATTCTGTGAGATATGCTGTTGGTAATTTGTCTGAGATTGTATTAAATCTGTATAACAATTTTGGAAGTGTGGACATTTTCACTGTGTTGGTTCTTCCTCTCCACATTTCTCTTTGATAATAGCCATCCTATTGGCCATATCGTGATAGCCCACTGTGATTTTGATTTGCATTTCTCTGATGACTAGCAATGTCAAAATGACTTATGTCTATTGAAAATCTTAGTTTTTATTTTCTTTTTATTTAAAAGTTATTTTATTTTTGTGTGTGAAGTCTATTGTTGGCAGCAATTTTCTTTCAGTGCTTTATGTAATCTGCTATTAAGTATCCACTGAATTAATTTCAATTATTGTTATGTCTTAGTCCTAGATTTTATCAATTTTTAGTTTGCCAACATTTTCCATTGTGTTATGTGATAACTTAAATCTTTATTTGTTGCTAAGGATTGAACTGAGGGCCTCATGCATGCTAAGCAAGTGTTCTACCACTGAGTCATAACTTCAAATTTTTAGTGACAGTTGATTTTAAGTACATGTCTGATAATTGGATAATACGTGGTTTTCCTACAGGATTTTTTTTTTATTGTCTGTATTATTTTATGGTTTTGAATCAATTCTATTTTTGGAGGGGGGGGATTGAACTCGGGACCATGTGCTCGTGAGGCAGGTGGTGGCATCACTGAGCTAAATCCCCACCCTTGAGTCAAGTCTTTTTGTACACCTTTCTCTCACTGAATGTTAGAATTCTGTGTGAAAAGGTCTAGACTTAATTTGAGACTCTAGATGATGATGCTATATCCCACAAGAATAATTTTAAATTTTTCTTCAGGCAAGTCCCTTAGGGTAGTGACAGAACAACAAGTTAATTCAAGCAGGGGTGGAGTTGAAATGCCTGGCTTAATACTCATGGGGGTCATTCTACTCCTATTTCACCCTTGTCCTTAAGGAATAATGAGTTTCAGGAATTGAGCCTGGTATGTTTACCTGGATCTCTGCTCCTCAGCAGATTCTGAACTTCAATTTTATCATCCTTCTGCAGTAGAGTAACCTAATGCCCTACCTTGCTCTGAGAGATAATGGAAGTCCATCCTTCTAAACCCTTAAAAGATAGTAAAAATCCACAAAACACTTTTATTCACTATGTTATGTATTCTTTGTGAATCATTCCCACTAAAAGAGTTCCCGGCAACTATAATCTGTTGATGATCATTTTCAAAAGGAAACTACTCTGCGTGGGGAAACGCAATCATAATTTTGTATAGCAAATAATAGTTTTAGATAAAATGACAATTCTTACTCATAAGCATATACAGTGGATAGTAAAAAAATTGGGCAATGGTTTAAAATTGATGAAGTCAAAGTTATTAATGGTAGTGAAATTAACAGATCATTTTGAACATTCCTAAAAGGTAAAAGTTTAGTAATAAATACCATGAAAATATTTTCATTAAAGATAGGAAAAAGAGTTGGTTTTGAAATTATTATACTTCAGAAACTCTAAGAAGGGACCATTTTCATTTCTTATTTTAAAAATGAGATAAGACAAAGAGAGGATATTTATATTTTCTTGGGCTCTGATTGTGAATCAGTCCACTGGATCAATGTTAGGATCCAAACTTGATCTTTGTTATAGTTAGTCTAAAAACTGCAAAATTCATGAAAGCTGACTAATGACCTAAAATGACTTAATAGCCATATTTATTCTAATTTCTGTTATTAAATGTCCCATAATCATTTAGCAGCTGTTTAGTATCATTATCTTTATAGAATGGTTTATTAAATTAATGCCATTCACCAAAAACTATAGTGATAGTTTTTTAGTATAATGTATTTGATTCTCAACTGAGAAAATAAGAAATTTGGAATGTAAACTAATCAAAGAACTAGTCCAGTAATCATAAAAAACACAAATTGTATGGTATTTATTCACTAGACATGTATTTAAGAACTACTGTTTTCAAAGTTCTTGACTAGGCAAGCTGTAGAATAATAAAAGGTTGAAAAAAAAAAAGTAAGTCCTTGCCCAGCTGGATAATTTAGGATTACAGAATTAATAAAACAAATATTCCTTTCTCACTTTCCTAGGTGTCTCTAAATTTATTGCAAATTTGATTGGTTCCTTTGACTTCTGCTCTTTCAAGTTGGAAAACTTCCTGGAACTTTCTGAGAAACCTCTTGAAGAATGGAATGGAGTTAATGAAAAAATCAGTGAAATGAAATCTCAATTGGATTTATTGCTGAGTATTATTGGCACTGCTCCACAGTTCATGGACATGGATTCTGGCTCGTAAGTTCCCATAGCTGTCTTTCTTTTGGGAGAATGTATTTTAAAGCTCTTTTGCAATAAAATTCACATGCCATACAGTTTACTCTTAAAGTATACAGTTCAGGGTTTTCAGTATAGTTACAGAGATGAACAACTGCAGTCAAATTTAAAACATTTTATCACCTTTGAAAGAAACTTCATAGCTAGGTGTGGTGTCACATATGAACAATTTGGGAATGTCCCTAGGCAGGCGGATTGCAAGTTTGAGGCCAGCCTGGATAGTGTAGCAAAATGAAAAAATAACAAGGGCTAGGGTTTTAGCTCAATGCTCCCTGGATTCATTCCCTAGAGCCTCAAAAAGGAAGGGGCTTGGGAAAGGAGGAGTAAGAATAATTGGAGGAAGAGAAAAAAGACTAAGAAGATTTGTGTGTATTAGCTATCACCCTGTATATTAGTAATATTTTTTGGTACTGTTGTAAAACACCAGGGGTTGGCTATTTTGTAAAGAGAAGAGCATATTTAGCTCACATTGGGAGACAGAAAATCTAAACAGCATGGTGTCCTCTGGCAAGAGCTCATCATGATATGGGAATACAGTAAGAAAGAGGCAGAGATCATATAGCAAGACAGGAAGACAGATGGGTTGTTTCCCTCTTTCCTTTCTTTTTCTTTTTTTCTTTTTTCTCTTTCACCCTCTCCTATTTACAAAGATTTTGTTTCCATTTCCTTTCTTTTTAAAAATTTTTATTGGTATATGTTTGCAGTGCATAAAGATTACATTCATTGTAAAGACTAGGCACAACACATCTTAAATCTTCTTTGTTTATTCCCTTCCCTTCCCCTCCCTCTGGTCTTCCTATCTCCTGGCCCCCTTCCCTTTTGCAAAAAAATCTATATCCCTGTTGCCTATTATTATATTATTTTACTCTTTATTTATACTTTGGGTTTCTCATAGAAGAGAAATAATGTTATATTTAAGCTTCTGTGTCTGATTTAGTTCACTTAACAGTTTGCACTCAAAGTACATCCATTTTCCTATAAATGACTCAAGTTTATCTTTCTTTATGGCAAAGTAGTACTCCATTATGTATAAATACCACATTTTAAAAATCCGTTCATCTATTGATGGATTTATAGGCTACTTCCAACATTTGGCTATAAACATGGGTATGCATTATCCCTGTAATATGATGAAGACTTTAGCTCTTCTAAAGCTAGAAGAGGAGTAACTGGGGCAAATGGAATTTCTATTTTTAGTTCTTTGAAGAATCTCCCTACTGATTTCTACAGTGGTTGTACTAGTTTACTTCCCACCAACAGTGTAGAAGGATTCCATTTTCCCTACATTCTACCCAGAATTTGGTATTGTTTTAGTTCTTGATGATAATCATTCTTTCTGAAGTAAGATAGAATCTTAGTGTTGTTTTAATTTGCATTTCTGTGATGGCTAGAGAAGTCAAACTTTTTTTATGTATTTATTTCATAATATGGGAAGTTAATTTTTTTTTTTTCATTTCAGTTGCCCATTTTTTGACAGGGTCTTTTATTGGCGAGGACTCTGATTTGAGTTCTTTATATTCTAGATACTAGTTCTCTGTCTGAGGAGTAGCTGGAAAAAAATTTCCCCATTCTGTATGTTGTCTCTCCACTCTTGGTTGTTGTCTCCTGCTTTATTCTTTTATCTGGGATTGTTTCTGCTATTCTGGGTTTCTCTTGGTTCTCTATAAATTTTAGGATTCTTTTTCTAATTCTATGAGGAAATCTTTTGGTATTTTGACTGGGATTGTACTCATTTATACATCAGTTTTGGAAGAATGGCAACTTTGACAATATTGATTCTGCCTATGCAGGAACAGGGATATCTTTCCATTTTTTGATGTCCTCTTTGATACCCTTTTTCAGAATACAGTTAGTCCCTGACTTACAAATGAGTTCCATTCAGGGAGAACATTTATAAGTTGGATTCATTTGTAGTCTGACAAAGTAAGTCTTATATAGTACAACTGTGAATCTTATATAATGCACTGGTGAAAGTTTACAACTCTAATGTTCATAAACTGGGGACTTACTGAACTATAGTTTTGATGTAGAGGTCTTTCACTTCCTTGGTTAGGTTAATTACTAAATATTTAATTTTACTTCAGGTATTTTGTATGGTGGTGTTATCCTAATTTCTTTCTCAGTGAGTTCATTGTTGATATAGAGAAATGCTATTGATTTTTGCATTATTTTTGAATCCTGCTACATTGCTGGATTTAGTTATTAATTCTAGGACTTTTGGGGTGGAATTTATTGATCCTTCTATGCAGAGAATCATGTCGCATGCAAATAATGGTAATTTGGCTTCTTCCTTTCCTATTCATATCCCTTTAATTTCTTTCTCAGACTTTATTGCTCACTCTGTTTTGATTTGAATTTTTCTAGAGCCTGATTGATCAATTTTGTTACCTCCTGTGCTATGGGTCCAGGGCGTCCTGTTGGTTCACTATCAGACTTTTCATCCTCATTTGTCCTACTATTTGCTATTGGTGAACTGGATATCTGTTTTTGTGTCTTGCTTAAGTGTTTTCTCATTTTTATTTTTATTGTTGGGTTGTCCTTCTTTAATTTCTGGGTATTACTTAAATCTTCCTAATATAGTTGCGTTTTAGCTTTTGAGTTTCTAATGACACATAGACATTCTCATTTTCATAATATCAGAGAAAACAGCTCTTTAAATCAATCACCACTCTTTTGGATATCTGTTTTTGTGTCTTGCTTAAGTGTTTTCTCATTTTTATTTTTATTGTTGGGTTGTCCTTCTTTAATTTCTGGGTATTACTTAAATCTTCCTAATATAGTTGCGTTTTAGCTTTTGAGTTTCTAATGACACATAGACATTCTCATTTTCATAATATCAGAGAAAACAGCTCTTTAAATCAATCACCACTCTTTGTCCCAATTGTGACACACAGCAGCCCAATAGGATCAGGCACAGCTT